CATCCTGCCTGAGAGGGGGCGAGAGAGGCAGGGAAAGAATGAGATGGGAGAGAGAGAGGCAGGGAGAGGGAGAGGGAGGGAAGTAAGGAGAGAAATGCAGATTACAGGAGGGAGTAATAGTCATGTTTTGTCTTCCAGCAAGAGGAGCAAGGGAGGAAGTAAAGAGGAAAAGGAGGGAGAGGGGAGATGAGGCTTGTCGGTTGGTTTTTCCCTCCTGGTCAGAACCTGCCACCTACTTTACCTCCTCAGATGGACAACAAGCTCTCTGGCTTGGACTCCACTTTCAAGTCACACATCGACTCTTATCAGACCTCAGCTGGCTTGAGGACGAATTTCTTTCCAAATTGTGACCATAACAGCAAGAGAGTGTTGTGTATGGGATGTAAAGCAGCAGAGTGTCTTTGAACTTGAACTGTGGCTGTCAGGGAAGCTGTGAAGAGACCCGATCAGTTTGACAGTGGACGCTTCAGCTTGGGGAGTCTGGTAAGTTTGACAGCCTTTATGCAACATTATTTTCAAACTTACGAGGAATAATCTGAACATTTGTATCCTCTGGCTCATTTTAAAATCACAGCTTCTTGTTGCTGTGAATCTTTAAAGAAACTGAATCCGTCCTGTCTCCAAAGCAAAGTGTCTTCAGTCAGTTTCAGTCCTTACTTGTTTGTCCAGCCGCCTTTCTGGCATTCGGTCTGTACTGTATTGAGACAGTGTGTGTGACTGAGATTATGCGCTGTGACCTTTGCGGTATCAGTCAGCTGTTGCCGTTGCTGACCATTAAGTGGGACATTCCAGCAGATCCTCTAATAGAGGCTCATTCAGAGTTGAGAATTTATAATTTCTCGGCCTTTGACTGCTGTCGCCAGCTTGTTTCTTCTTTTCGTCTCCTTGCCACTTCTCTCATTCCGTCCAGCTCTTCTGTTTAAGATCCTAAAAAACCTGCATAACTCCCAGAGAATACATTTTGAAGTAGAAGCTCGCTACGTAGAGCCAACGTGATTGAATTTCCCAATTGGTTGCGGTCGAAACGGAACAATTATCATCTGTTATCTCATTAACTTTGACTCCACGTCAAAGACAAGCTGCTGTTCAGGGTGTGCCAGGGAATTATTTGAAAAATGTGCTTCATGTGATTCCTCTTTGCTTGTTGTTGGCAGTTGGGGGACAGGTAGCCAATTGGGTTACAGTGTCAGGAACAGGAAAGTGGGAGTTCTGTGGATTTATCATTAAGCCTGTTTCGTTGATCCAGATCTTTCAGTCACCGTGGTTAAAAGGACAGCAAGAGCCGGGTCCTTTGTGTGTTTCCTGTTTTTAATAAATAAAAGAGTCCCTGTGGATGTTACTATAATAATGTTACTATAATGTAGTACAGATCTTGAACAGTTTTGAGTAAATTAGGTTAAAGTTTTTGCCTTTTTTTTTTTTTTGCCAAAAAGTCCAAATAACAAAAATATAAACAGTTTTAAACAGGGAAAACAGGTTCTTTTCCCTGGGACTTTTTGTTCACTTCCTGGGTAGCCGTTTTTCTTATGGTCAGTTTCTTGCTGTAGCATGTATATACAGTATATATATACCCTTAGATTTTCCCTGCTGTTCTTTTTTGTGCATTCCCTTACATCCATTCCAGTAGTTCAGAAACTAACCCTCCAGGAAATAGAGCGAGATTACCCATAATTCTATGAAGCTGAAAGAAAGCATCTGAGAATGAACAGGGGAACTCAACGGATATGCAACTGGCCAATCATGGTCATTGTGGGCTGCATTGATGCGACATGTAGATTTCTATGGAGGTCCATGTCAGATTAGGATGTAGGGCTTCCTAAGAGTTTTCAGTTATGAGATACCTACAGTGTACATTTAACACCAATGTTTAAGTCCTTTGTGAGTTGTTTCATTTTTTCGTAACTGACATAAACACAGCTTTTAATTTAAACCCTGTGTTTTAATAATTGGTTTAGGAAACTTGAACTAAACAGTCTTCTTCATTTTAAATAATCTTTGACCAAAAATTTAT